TGGCTGGTTGTTCTCTGTACCCTTCTCTCCAGGTAGGTCAAGAGACAAATGCTGGTGTTGCAGAAAAACACACCAAAACATTTCATGAGAAACAATGATTTGGGGATGATCTGGACTTTCAGCTTCCAGGGATGCAGGATGTGCTGTCTTGTTTATAAATCAGGTTATGTCATGCCATCTTAAATTGGACAGCCCAAAATTAATCAGATTCTGGGAAATCAGAACTTAGTGCTGGCTTCAGGTGGGTCAAATGGCACCTCTTCTTTGGAGGGATCTAGTAGACAGTGGAAATATAGTCTTGGTTTTCACTGCATATATGAGAACCCAGTCTTTCCTCTCCTGACCTGTCAGACCAAGTCTGAGATAGAAATTTTCTTGCCTGGGGGATGCTTTTTCATCAGAAGTAGCTTCTCACTTATCTGTTGAATGATCAAATGGAGCCTGCTGATTTATTACCCACTTCCGCTTGATACATGGACTGCTGCTTATCCTGGGTACTGCACGCTGCTCTTGGAGCTCTTCTCTAATGCCAGCCCATTAACAGGGAGAGAGCTGCTCTGCTATGTATTACAGGGAACGTGACATTCTTGGGTATTTTCCTTCCCCAGACACAAAGGCTCCACATCTCCCCAGGTTCCTGGGCACAAATAGCACTTCACTTTCCACCAGCGATCCCCAGCCATTTCCCCTCCTCCTGGTAGCAGTTACCTTCCCTTCCTCGCCTCTGGAGTGATGAGGTTAATGTTAAATAAAGTGGGAAGGAAGAAGTCTGCTCATGAAACTCTCTTCTGTGCCAACACCAAGGAGTTTGCAAGCTGAGCCAGCCCTCAGCAGCAAACAGAAACCTCACACCGTGTGGGTGGCAAATATTGCAGCCCAGGGCTGAAAGCAGCCTTTAGGTGAAAACTTACTGGTCCCAGGTGGGTAATGGGGGACGCTCTGATTAGAAGAGCAAAATTTGATGCCCAGCTTGCAAGTAAAAGTAGAAAGTGGACACGAAGAAACTCAATGAGAAGTGTCTGTGTGGCCAAATGAAAGCCTCCTCATTTCATACCTTGCCTTATTTATTTGGCACCAGGCCCTCTTTGAGAAAATTGCTCTGGCAGATTCATTTCCCAGCTTCTTGAGCCATAAACAGTTTATTTGTAAAGCTAATGCCCTTCTGCAGCATTTCTCTAACAAGTAAGAGCCCATCAGAAACAGGTTTTATATTCTCCACCATCAAGATGACCACATTCTCACTATTTTCCACACTGTGTGAAAGTCAGAGTGTCCCAATGTGTACAGTAATTTCACACAAGCATCTCCTGGGATGCAAAAGAAGCTTGAGGTCCTTTAACCCTTTTTTCACAGCAGGGAGGTTAAAGATGAGTGTTGTTTTTTGCTTGAGGAATCTGAAAAATGCCTGATTAAAAAAAAAGAGAAATCAGAGTAAAAATGACTTGTTTTCTCACTTGATTATATTTTCAACAGCACATTATGTCCTTGTCATGCTGTCCCTGGGACCAAGGACTGAATCTGCAGTGTGGGAACAGCCAGGTAAGACAATATCAGAAAAGAAAAAGAGCAGGAAGATCCTGAACCTCTTTTGCTTTGCTTTGCAGGTCACTGTACAGAAGTGCACTGGGAAATGAGCTGTGATGGTGATACCACCACCTGTCCTTGTACTCCTTCCCAAATCCCCCTTCGGCACTGCTCGCCCGGCTGCTGCACAGTTTCTTTCTGAAATTTAAGGCATGGAAACAAATCTCCTTTGCAATTAAGGGGCAGAGACGTCACAGCAGCTCCTTGGGGCTCTCTATGAGCTGGAACAAGCCCTGTTTTCACAACTGGCCTGTGGCACTCATCTGCTGTTGCATCTCTGGGCAAGCCTAACCCCAAGTAACTGTTTACCCCATGGGAATAGTTTGAAACAGCTCTTCACAAAGTTAGAATTCCTTGTTACTGGAGGAAAACATGCCTTGGGCCAATCTGCCTAGGTACTTTTATGTAAGGATGTGACGATTTCAGTTAGAAGCATGCAATAGCAACTTTAATGCTAAGCTCTGCCAAAAAACACAACCTGGGGAAAGAACTAAAGAGTATGTAGACACCCCCCCCCCCCCCCCCCCCCCAACTCTATCCATCTGCAGAAAGATTTTGGACGGCTGAAAGTACAAGCTCAGGCAAAGACTGATGGAGGTGATTATTTATATGTTGAGAACTTGACAGATACCACAGGGATGTTCTGAAGGGACAGGGTTGTGTGCAGCCCGACGTGGGGAGCAGCTGCCGGGGGGCACAACCCACACTGCTGAGGTGAGATTGGGAGGAATGAAAAACCACTAGCTGATAGCCAGGACACTCTGACCATGAATGAGATGGATAACACTGGTTTAGATGTAAAGGGTTTGGTGCAATAGGTCTCAAACAAAAAATTGTTAGATTTATTTTGCTGATCCTAAAATGGCGATAAGGACAATAACAATCCTGTATGGGCAGATGTGGCCAAGTTGTTCTTTTCCCCCAAAAGAGAGAAGAGTTACAGGCAGAGGAGGCTGGTGGGATGCTACAGGTCTGGCCATCCTTGCAGTGAATTGATTTCTCCTTCCCATCATTCTAATTGCAGAGCTTGTCTCCTGTCTTGGTCCGCGGAATTAGGTTCTCCCAGTGCGCGGAGAGGTTGAGCACCACAAACTTGGGCACTGCTCTTGCTAAACTGGGAGCTGACACGGAGACATCAGGCTGTCTGATGGGATGGATATTTGAGTGATGGACTATTTCAAAGTACATTGTGCTAACCAGACTTGCAGCAGCTGAAAGGGACCTGACGGCATGTAGTCTGGATCAATGGTGTTCAGCTGCCCAGATCAATGACTTCTTGGTGAAATCTTTGATTAATGGATGCTCATGAGAAAGGATGACTTGACTTCAGCAGTGTGTTTGGGGACTGGTGAGAGCCAGAGAGAAGGGGCTAAAAGGGGTTAGAGTCCTGAAACCAGAATAGAGGCAGTAAATAGTATGAGATAATGCTAATAGCCTGGGGGCAAAAGGGCTTGCCCTGTCCCACTTGCAGCATGCATAGCGCTTCTCAGCATGAACGTGATTTGGGAAGCACCAAATTCACATGCTCAGCATATGAAAGAGGCAAAGGACTGTTTTTGCATGAGGTGTTAAAAAATAGCTAATGCTTCTGTCATACCCAACTGTGATTTAGAGCAAAGCTGTTCACTGCTAATTCCTTACCACCAGTGGTTCGGGCTGCCACCACCTTCTGCTGGAGAGCAGCCTGTGTGGCAGCCGGTGCTGCTGGGTGCTTGCACACTGCTTGGAGGGTGTTTGCCACCCCAGCTGGCTTCCTCCTACACCTCTACCAGGCTCCCAGCAGCAGCTGTGGCTTCCTGCAGCTCAAAAGAAATAATATAATCTAAATGAAATTAGAGGTCTGGATGGAGACCAGACACTGCAGATGTGCAGTGAAGGTGCTACCATCTGTACTCAGGAGCCTGCAGTGTTGTCTGATAGCTCACACATTGCCACAAAACCCTGTGACAAAATTTCAGATTTTATTCCCTTTCCAAAAAAATTTCCAGGTTTTGGAGCTATGGGGGGGGGGGGGGAGGGGGAAAGGGGGGGTGATGGGGGGAGGCAGCATATATCAAAAGTGTGAGCTGGGTGTGAGCTGGGCTATGGAATGGTGAGCTGTTTCCATGGAGGTTAGTGTATGTGTCTAGGGAATATGTAGAGCTGTGTGGCATGGCTTCGTTTGGGTGTGGGTTCCTGGAGGCGGGAAGGCAGGAAAGTGTTAGCCCTCACGGATGTGGTTGAGACCCTGCCATGGCTACGTGGCTGCAGTTTTTCCTGTTTGGGTCCCTATTTAGTTCAAAGTTGCATCCACTCCATCTCCAGTGGTATGTTTGTGCTGCCTAATATTAATATATAAATATTAATGATATCTATATAAAGCAAAGAGCTGAGGTAAACAGCACACTACCACTTTATTCCATTTATTTTGCAGCTTTGGCTTTCCCCCAGGTATTTCATCCCACCTGTCTTTTGCTGGTCAATGTAACACAGCAGCAGAGCAGAACGTTTCCTTCCTTCTCTGGTCCCATGCCCTGGTTACTGGATGGCTGATACGCTCTTGAACTAGTGAATTATTTGAGGTTTTCCGGCATAAGAAACCCAGCCTTTAACTACATCTCTTATTTTCTAATGTAACCACTTCATTTCAATATTTATTCTTTTTAGGATTTATTGCTATTTCCTTGCTTTTGATTAATTTTTGATTGTGTGAATATGGTGCTACTCAATATAGAACCTTTGTGTGCATGCCTTATATATGCTTGGGCAGTTAGAACTGGGAAACTGCCAGCTGCTCTGTAAAATGTCCTGAGATGTCCATAGATCAGCCTGACATCTAGATTAACTTCAACTCATTCCACTCCATGATATTGTGACCCTGTCAGTAAGAGCTGTGGCTGCTCCGTCCGGTGTTTTTCAGTCTCATGATCAGAGCTCCTGCTCCTTCAGGACATCTGAAACCACTGAGCATTAGCGGAGAAGCTGTCATGCTGCACTTGCTTCATGAATCAACATGAAAACTGCTGTTGGGTGTGCGTGTAGGGGCAAATTCGGGACACTAAGAGCCTTTAGGAGGTTTGTTAGGAAGCCGCCGGCAGGAGCGGTCGGTGTCAGGTGTGGGAGGGAGCTGACAGGTTGGCTGGCCTGGGGACACTGCTTTCTGCGGGTGTCCCTGGCTCCGCTGCCATGTGCCGCCTGGGCTGTGCGGAACCTCTTGTACGAGGTGAGTGCTCCACGTACTGCAGTTGCTATCTCTGGCTGTGGCACTCCGGGTGCCCATCAGAGAGGTGTCACTGTAGAGAGGAAGGTTCCTGCTGCCTTGCTGCAGGTCCTCACCCTCTGCTCCCCACGCTCAGCCCTGCAATGCTCGAGCACCGGAGCAGAGCTGTATGCTGGGCTCCCGTCCCTGCAGAGATCACAGTCCTCGTCTGCAAAGTGGATGGAGGTGGATGTGCCAACTGCAATAGGACAGCGGGCTGGAGACTCAGCCCCGTGGATGCAGATGTGATGGGTTATGTGTGCTGAGGCGAGGTGAGGGCATGGGGTTCTGTGCCCCCAGTGGCTACTGCGCAGTCCCACAGCCTTCTCCTCCCAGCAGTGGTTTAACATGGCACTGCGAGTTCTTGGAAAGTAACTCGTGATGGCTCGTACCCAAGTAACGCGCCTAAGCCAGGCTCAGCAAAGCTCCCTGCCCGACTGGATATCGCTCCCGGCTGTGGGCGTCCGGGGCCGGCTCCCAGCGCTGAGGGAACAGCCATTACACGCCGGTGTTCCCCGGTTTAGCCCAGGCAGCAGGGACAGCGTGTCCCTCGGTGTCCCCGTCACCCGGCAGAGCTAAGGGGAGACCCAGAGCACCGCCGAGGCGCAGCGGCTGCTGCGCGGCTGCCCGGCGCCGACGAGATGCCGGGGCTCGACCCTCTCATGGCGCTTCGCCTCCCGACGCAGTTTGTCCCGGCCGCCGCGCCGTAGGCGCGTTGCCGTGGAGACGAGTGTTGCGGCCCAGCGCGGCGGCTGCGGGCTCTTGGTGATGTCGTTCCGCGACCTCCGCGGTGAGGATCCTGGCCGAGGGCCGCGGGTCTGGGGCGGGGGGATGGCACGGGGCACGGCACGGAGCACGGCATGGGGCACGGCAGGTCCCGGTCCCGGTCCCGGTCTCGGCTCTCCGCGGCCTATTTGCTGCTTCAGCCGCCGAGCGGGTTCCGGTGATGTGTTAAGTTTTTCCCGGTAGTTTCATTTATGGATGCAGGAGGAGGCGCGGGCGCCGGTGCCTCAGAGGCTGCAGGGGGTTGTAGCCTTCCTTTAAACTGACTGAAGGGATAACCGCGGGGGACGGGGGCACCACAGCCCCTGCGTGGTGGTGACCCCACAGCCTCCAGTCAGTTAACCTCATGGGGTGTTTTGTAGAGAGAAGTTTTGCTGACATCGATTCTGCCCAGTGAATCTCTTGTCAAAATGTCACCCTTTTACTCAGGCATATTTTCTAGTGAATCACAGACTAGTTTGGGTTGGAAGGGACCTTAAACTCATCCAGCTCCACCCCTCTGCATTAGGCAGGGACACCTTCCACTAGAGCAGCTTGCTCCAAGCCCTGTCTAACCTGGCCTTGAACACTGCCAGGGATGGGGCAGCCACAGCTTCTCTGGGCACCCTGTGCCAGCGCCTCAGCATCCTCACAGGGAAGAGCATCTGCCTAAGAGCTCATCTCAGTCTCTCCTCTCTCAGGCTAAAGCTGTTCCCCCTTGTCCTGTCCCTACAGGTACTTGTAAAATGTCCTCCAAATTTCCTGTAGCCCCTTGAGCTATTGGAAGACTCCTTTAATCCATTCAGGATTTTTTTTTTCTCCAACAGGGCATATCTAATGGTAAATGAACCGCCTGCTGTGGCAACCAGCGTTCTTGGTAATATCCGTGTCAGATATGTAAGAAGGAATTCCTGCTCTTGCTTGTTTTTCAGATTTTACTGAGATGATGAGAGCACTGGGGTATCCCCGACTCATATCTATGGAGAATTTCCATACCCCAAACTTCATGCTTGTTTCTGAAGTGCTCTTCTGGCTAGTGAAAAGGTTGGTGATCAGGCTAGGACATGTTGGGGCTGCTGCCAGGGTGTGGTATGTATGCAGGGGGCTGGTGTGCTGGTGTGAAACTGTTTTAAGAAGTTTAAAGGGAAGCATAATGATACTGAGTCATTCTGTGAGATCTACTTTTATAAATATCAGATAGAAAATGTGGTAGTTAGTTTAGTTCACGGGTTTTTAATTTAGTTAATTCTATGATTCTGTTATTATTATACAACAACAAATAAGTGGCTTAGTAGCTGAAGGAGAACATACAATGTCTGAGTCCTGGCAGAGCTTCAAAGAATCATAGAATGGTTAGGGTTGGAAAGGATCATATGATCATGTAGTTCCAACCCCCAAATTGCATCTTTGAAGGTGTGCACACTTGCTCAAAAGCAGCTGTGTGTCTTTCACATATTCTACAAACTCTGTTACTATTCTGCCTGTATTTGACCCACATTTGCCCCAAAAGGGGCAAGTGAGGACTTGTCAAGATGCAGTTAGTTCTTACCTTGTTGCTACAATTATCATTGGTTCAACCTGGTATTGTCTGTTGTCATGCCATGTATAAAAAACCCTCAAATGATACAGTACTAATCTACAAGTACCCAGTTTTAGTTTTACACCCACTTAACCCATTGTCAGACTTCAGTTAAATATTTATGAAACTTGAGGTGCTAATCAAATTATACATAATATTCTTTCTCCTATGTAAGTGAAAAAATAAAGTTTTTCATTTGCTCATACAATTGAAGCCATTTGCCTGCTTGCTATTTTTATCCTATTAGTATCCAGTGAGCTTAATTACTGTCCTGTTAGATGTTTGAATACTGTTGCAATCGTAATAAAATAAGGAAATACTTACAACCATTCAAAATTGCTTGGATTAAGTTACCTAAATATTCTTTAAAATACTGCTGTTACACTGAGGTTGTAAATTACTGTTTTTTTTCAATGCCTGTAAAAACATACATCAATCCCCCTTAGTTTATAACAGTAAAGTAGCAGAGCAATTGAAAGAAAACAAATATTGTTTTTAAAATATGCTTCTTTAATGAACCTGAACACTTTTAAAAGCTGAAACTTCTGTTATAGATAACTGGGAATGCTGAGCCTAATAAAAAAATACTTCCCTTTCAGACTAAATATCAACTGAACACTGGCATCCTTTTCTGTTATGGGTCAGTTACCCTTGACACAGGCAGACACATTTTCCGGCTTCTACAAGCCTTTTAATTACACTTTGAAGCAGAGAGGCTACTTTGCATGTACCTTGCTCAAATTTCAAATGTGGGAGCAAAGATCCTTTTTTGCCTGCCTGAATGCTAAAAATCCTGAAGCTTTTGTTGAGACTGGGAATTTACTGTTATTCTTACCTGGTTCCTGGAGACTGGTGACTTCCAGAAATTTCTGCACTTCACTAGTGTTTTCTTAAAGGATTTCACTATCTTTCAATTTGCTTTTTTGTTAATTTTTTTTTTTTTTTTTTACTTTTGAAAGTAGTATCTTTAAAATGACATCTGAGTGTGAATTTGTCTTGTGTATTTTGACTGAGTGGAAAAGTGGTGTAAACTTTTAAACGCCAAGGTGGCTGGTTTTGTTATTATCAATAATAGCAATCTAGTACAGGTAACTTTAATGTACCGCTGGAAGGACTGGGAGCATTAACTTAGTCATATGCCTATTCCAAGTATTGCATGTTCCAAATCATGAGGCCATTTGTGATTAAGTTTAGTTTGATATATGTGAGCAGCTTGTGATTTCAGTAGTAAATTACTTCTGAAAATAAGGCTTTCACAGACTTGAGCCAGCTAAATTTTGCTCCTTTGCAAAACCAACTGAAAAGATGTATTGAGGACCCCACCATGAAAGTTCCTTCTGGAGGGGTGTCTCAGGTTTTATAGCTTTTGTGCTTTGTACACAAATGCATTCCAGGATCTGGGTCACCCAGGCTGCAGCAGGAGCTAAAGATCTATTTCACAGTCTCATATGTGCTCATCTTGTTTGATTTTTGCCTCACAAATGAACCAGTCTCTTGAATATTGCACATGTATTTCTTGTCAGAATGTACACATGCTTCTTGCCACAGGTATGAACCTCAGACTGATATTCCTCCTGATGTGGAGACAGAGCAGGACCGGATTTTCTTCATTAAGGCAGTGGCTCAGTTCATGGTAAGTCTGCCTATGGAGCTGCACTTAAGCACATTGAAACACTGGTTCCATATTAGCTTTAACTCCCTCTCAACAATTTCCTTGCAATGAGTGGCTGAGTATGTATTGTATTCTCGTATTTGGGTTCAAACTTGAACAGGGGAGATTTAGGTTGGATATAAGGAAGAGCTTCTTTACTGTGGGGGTGGTGAGACACTGGCACAGATTGCTCGAAGAGGTTGTGAATGCTCCATCGCTGGCAGTGTTCAAGGCCAGGTTGGACAGGACTTGGAGCAACCTGCTCTAGTGGAAGGTGTCCCTGCCTGTGGCAGGGGATTGGGACTGGATGAGCTTTAAGGTCCTTTCAGCCCAAACCAGTCTGGGATTCTAGGATATGAAATTTTTTTAAACCATTTAAATGGGTTCAGAGGAGATCCCATCATATTAATAGCATCATATTACTAACTTTGGATTCCTGATTCTTTTGTATGTTTGAACAGTTGTAATTTCCAAAGTTTTTGTTATGATATAGAAGCATGTATTGGTATTCTGTTGTATGCACCTTGTTACTTACTAGATCAAGCCATATTTTTCTCAGATCCAAGCTTTTATCATCCTATGAATAAGCATATTTGAATTGGGCTAGAAACATTTTTAGTCTCGTGGAATAAGATATTTGCCTTCATGTTTTTCTTGTTACTTTGGTGCAGCATGAGCCTTTGCTGTTATGACACACTTGTGTAGTGCTCTTAATCAGGTGGAAAGTGTTTAATGGGGCTGCGTGTGGGTGTGGAAACATTGGAAATCTTATGCTACTGCTAAAGGTTAATTTTTTATACTTTTTTAGATTTTTAAAAATCTATTAAAATGACATTATAACCAAGCCACCTTTTCCCTTCTGATTTGTGATTATATTCATAAACTGTCTTAATTCTTGATTTTGCTATGTTCAGAATGTGGTACCCATCTGTGCATACTGGAATGCACTTTTGAGCCCTGGAGCATCATAAGACATAGTGAAAGATCAATTTGGTTTGAAGGGATTTACACCACTCCGAATCAAGCATGTTTTAAAAGGACGAGTATTGAAACAGAAATAATGTTATGCATGCATTTTCCTTTTAATAGCTGATTTTATGTAAGAAATCCCAAGGGTTTTGAGGAATTCATAGAATCATAGAATAGTTAGGGTTGGAAAGGACCTTAAGATCATCTAGTTCCAGCCCCTCTGCCATGGGCAGGGACACCTCACACTAAACCATCTCACCCAAGGCTTCATCCAGCCTGGCCTTGAACACTGCCAGGGATGGAGCATTCACAACCTCCCTGGGCAAAATGTGATTCATATCATGCATAATATGGTTCAGAAAAGGAAACAAATGGAAATTTCTTTAATTATCTCAGTTAGTTTTGCAAGATAATATGAGCATTATTGTAGATTTTCAACATTTTCAGAATGGGAGAAACTTGTAGATTCATTGTGGCATCCGCAGTTACCATCTCCAGTAGCTAATAGCTTTATGCATCCATAGCCAGATGTGAAATATTGGAGACAGATTTGTCTCAGAAGAGAATATCAGGAAGGGAAGGAGGGAAGGAAGGCAGGATTAAGGAAGTATGGAAGGCAGGATTAAGGAAGGAGGAAGAAAGGAGGTAGGGAGGGAAGGAAGGAAGAAGGAGGGAGGGAAGGAAGGAAGGAGCGGAAGAGGGAGGGAAGAAATGAGGGAAAGGAGAAGGGAAGGAAGGAGGGAGGGAGTGAAGCAGGGAAGGAAGGAAGGAGGAAGAAAGGGAGGGAGGAAGAGAAGGAGGGAAGGAAGGCAGGATTAAGGAAGGATGGAAGGCAGGATTAAGGAAGGATGAAAGAAGGAAGGAAGGAAGTAGGAAGGAAGGAGGATGGAAAGAAGGAAGGAACGAAGGAAGGAGGAGGGAAAGAAGGAGAGAAGGAAGGAGGGAGGGAGATAGGGAGGGAAGGAAGAAAGGAGGAAGGAATGAAGAAAGGAAGGAAGGAATGAAGAAAGGAAGGAAGGAATGAAGAAGGAATGAAGGAAAGAGGGAGGGTGGAAGGGAAGGAAGGAATGAAGGAGGAAGGAAGGAGAAAAGGAAGAAGGGAGGGTGGGAGGGAAGGAGGGAAGATGGGAAGGAAGGAGGAGGAAGGAAGGAAGAAAGGAGGTAGGAAGGAAGGAGGAAGGAAGGAAGTAGGAAGAGAGGAAGGAGAGAAGGAAGGGTGAAAGGAAAGAAGGAAGGAAGGAAGGGTGGAAGGAAAAAAGGAAGGAGGAAGGGTAGAAAGGAAGGAAGAAAGGAAGAAGGAAGGAGGGAAGAAGAAAGGAAGGAGAGAAGGAAGAAGGGAGGGAGGGAAGGAGGAAAGGGGGGAAGGAAGGAAGGAAGGAGTTGTACCATAACTCTTGTATTGCCCCAGCTCAGAGAGTGCAACATCAGTAACCTCTTCTGGAAGTTTCGACTTTTCAGACATCTTCCTGCCAGCAGGAAGCACATATAGAGTCAGTTTCCTCTGCCAGATTGAGATTTTAGGATGAGAGGGTCGAGAGGTAAACATTTATTGGAAGTGGAAATCTGATTGTAAAGTCGCTAAGTTTAACATGATTCCTACAAAGAAACATGGACCAAGACCTGTGTATCGTTTCCTTTGTTGCTTGAAAAGTTAGAGCTAAATCCATATTTTGAGATGTGATCCTTTCCGTCTTTAGTTTCACAGGGAATTTTCCTGCAGTCAGTTATTCAGTGAAGCTCAGTGCAGAGTGGGCAGAACTTGTACTAAACACTATAATGTCTGATTCTTTTATCCCACATTAAAGGTCTTGCAGTGTCACAAGCCTGGGGTATGTGTGAGTTATGGTAACACTATAATACCAGAGTTGTGTAATACCACCAGTGAATCCTGGATAGATTCTTTCTACCACACAGTATTCCCAAGGGATAAACATTTTAGCAGACAAAAGATGCTGAAAATAAGATGCTAAGTCATTTGGGTGCTTAGTTTTTGTATTCTTAACTGGTGATTCACATTTTATAGAATCCCAGACTGGTTTGGGTTGGAAGGGACCTCAAAGCTCATCCGGTTCCAACCCCCTGCCACGGGCAGGACACCTTCCACTAGAGCAGCTTGCTCCAAGCCCTGTCCTACCTGGCCTTGAACACTGCCAGGGTTGGGGCAGCCACAGCTTCTCTGGGCAACCTGTGCCAGTAAAGTGCTATCAGGAAGACTACCTCAAAGTTTTACCTGAAGTTTGGTGTTGTCTCCTTTTGGCTATTTCTTTATAATATAATCTTGTCAGGAATTTCAAGAAGAACATTTGTGTCATTTTTGTGTCAGATATATCATTTCTATTATGCTCTTTTTTCTCCTTTAGTATTTCAAAGTATAAAAAAATAATACAGTTTTTACCATTTTTTTTTCCTTACTGGTCTGTCTGTACCTTTGAGAAATGGAAGACAAGGTAATAAAATCACTAACGTGGTAGCAGGGAAAAATGGAAGAGAAAAATAAAATATTCTGAAGGTACTGCTGGAAGAGAAGACCGTTAAACTGGGATAACTGATCTTCTTCTTGTAGCTCATTAAGGGTGAAATTTACCTCTCTGCAGCAGCGTCACAAGACCTGGGCAGTGCTTACATTCCACTTAATTTGAATATAAGTGGTGCACAAGGGTTTTGCTGATCTTTATGCAGGGAAGAATTAATGGATAAATTGAGTTTTTTCATTCTGGCAATTATCCACAAATGTTCTGACATGCAGAAAGTACACTCATTTCACAAAAATTTCTTCCAGAAACATCAGTAATCTAATAAGGCAAACTTGTGTTTCCAAACAGGAATATTTAGTTTTGTAAAGCAGAGTATGGTGCCCCCTCAAAAAAAAGCTTTTGAGTGAAGTGTGAAGAGGTCAATGAGGATTTTGTTCTTTGTGACGTAATTAATTCATTCTTTCTTCCCAAAGGCTACCAAAGCTCACATAAAGCTAAACACTAAGAAGCTTTACCAGGCAGATGGCTATGCAGTGAAGGAACTGCTAAAGATCACCTCTGTGCTTTATGATGCTATGAATACCAAGGGAGTGGAACACATGGATTTGAGTGAGGAAGACAGCAGCAAGTTCAAGTTTGATCTTGGCTCAAAAGTAAGTAAAACTTGTAGTCTTTTTTGGGCAGGGGTTTTGTGTTAACCTATGAAAAGCAAGTTAATTTTCTATTTGAGTCTTAAGTAGAGAATGTTCTTGCACGGGAGTGGGTATGGTTGTAATTCATACTTCCTGTAGTTGAGGTTATATACTACGATTTGGTTTACTCTCTGTAAATTCTCAACCAGAAGCATAATACAAGGCAAGAGTGGTACAAAATTGGTTATCTTTGGCTTTGACTGCTGAAAAAATGGAAATATTGGAATAGGCCAGAATAAAAACCATTTTCTAGCTACTAACCTTGTTGTCATAGAAGGAGTTTGCAAAATAATGACTTAAAGTTGGTTTTCAGCCGATTTGCATTGAAGGAAAGGGAAATCCTTCTGTTCCCCTAACAGATGTTAAAGCTGTTCAAGTTCTTAAAATGAGTTCCATATCTAGATATTGAAAGAAAACTCAACACTAAGTAAGAGGAATTCCTGTTGCTGCTTTTCGTTAGTTTTAGCACCTCTTTTATATGCTCATATTTTTAGTCTTTGATTCCTCTACAGTTATACTGTGTCCTGCCTGCTTGTTAGACAACAGTACTGCATTTCTTGAGAGAATGCCAGAACCACAGGCAAGTTTTACTCTGTGGCAGTTTGGTGCATCTCTGAAGAAAGCACCTGAAGAAACAATGAAAAAACACTTTTAGGTTGTCAATACTCATTACCTATGCAATGTGTTAGTCACATACCTTTTGGTATATATACTTTTTACTTTAATGTGGAAAAGGTGATGTTTTCCTCTGCCCTGGGCAGCACGCAAACCAACAACTGGCCAAGTCACTGTTTTAAAGAGGTTTTTTTTTTGTGTGTTGTTGGCCTAAAGTGGCTGGGGTTTCACCCAGAAATTTATGTCTAAATGGTACTTCATCTATCATAGAATCACAGAGTGGTTTGGGTTCAGAGGTCCTTGTCAAAAACCCCTCTCCAGTTTCTTGTAGCCCCTTTAGGCACTGGAAGCTGCTCTAAGGTCTCACCTTAAGGAGCCTTCTCTTCTCCAGGCTGAAGAAGCCCAGCTCTCTCAGCCTGGCTCCACAGCAGAGCTGCTCCAGCTCTTGCAGCATCTCTGTGGCCTCCTATGGACTCTCCAACAACTCCATGGCCGACTTATGTTGGGGGCCTCAACAGAAGTTGTGCTCACTCTGATTCCAGTGGACAACTTCTTCAATACTACAGTAGAATTTTGGCCACTGGGCTGACCTCCTATGCAATTTTAACATCAAAATGGGAAAAATTTTACTTTATGTGTTTCCAGATTACTGACTTGAAGGCAGCTAGACAGCTTGCTTCCGAAATCACCTCCAAAGGAGCAAGTATGTATGACCTACTTGGCAAAGAAGTTGAACTAAGGGTAAGTGCACTCTCGAGAGTGTATAAGAACTTGTGTTCACTGGGTGCTGCAAAGGGAAAAGGTGAAAAAGTATCACTAGTTCTTACCATCTGCATCTAAAATGAACATCTGTGAGTTTGAAGGAGTGCGTCTGAAAGTTTGCATAGATAGGTAGTAAAAGATAAATGATTAATACTGTCAAGTTTTCCAAGTGTAAGGCTTATTATTTCTGTTACAGGAATTGAAGGTGTCACAGTCCTGCAGGGGATGTGTTCTTCAACTTAGTTGTAAAATCACAAGTTGTTGCATGAGGTCATGGATGTGTCCTGCAACACTGCCCATAAGTGTTCCAATTATTTTCTTAAATGCATTTATCTGCTATGCTGGAAGTTCTTTATTTTCTGAAAACAGACATTTAGAGAAGGGAAACACTGAATGTTCTAGTACTGGTTTTGGAAATCTTCAGCTCTGCAATATCTGAGCAGGGGGAAGTGCACCCTGTAAGAGCTGGAGACTGTGTGCCTTGAGGATTAATGCTGCCCGCTCCTAGTTTAATGGAGCACGGGTGTTTTGAAGGGTAGGTCGTACAGAGGGGAGATTGTCTGTGGGACACTGCCTTTTCTGCTAGATATGTAAGTCAGCATGGCGTGCAGCAGTGTGAAAGACATTAATATTTCAGAAGAGAGATGTGGTAAGCCAGTTTAATTCAACATACACAATTGTCACAAAACCATTAATCAGTTACTTCTCATCTTGCATTCTTTGCTTAATTTCTTGGCTTTGATAGAGTTCTCACATTAATGCTACCTAATATGTCAATGTTTGCTTTGGGGCATTAAACCCTTTTTTCTGTGTATCACATCCCTGAGAATTCTACACTAAAGAGTCACATGTAGGTCAGTAGAAGGCAACATTTTTCAAAAGCACTCAAGCATTGGTTTTAGATTGAGTATTGTTTCATCTCTCTAAATCAAGGCTTTTAGGAGTCCAACTGACTTGAGAACTGAGCCCTAGAAAAGGGACTTGAACAAGTGCAGTATGCTGAAACATGAAATGAAAAATCAAGAGATGGTTAGTTCTTCAGTGCAGCCACTTCTCATTGGGTCCATTAAGAAACCTTCAATAGAAGACTATTTAAAGGTGCCGTTTCTAAAAGGATGGTTATCTCTTACATACAGTAGCGAGCGCATGTTCTTGTGGTGTAATGACCGAGTGCACAAGATGGGGCTAACTAATCCTATAGAGGGACATGGCTTATATTTCGCAGAAACATTTGACAGATTGAACTTGCTGACTTTAAGAATCCCATCTTGGGAAATATGACCTTTGCTTCTTTCTCATTAGCTCAGAATTTATATCCTAAAAGCATAAGATGACACTATAACAGCACAGTCAGAGAGCAGCAGCAGAATTTCATGTTCTGTTCCTTATGATTTGTGACTAGTTCTAGTCTTCTTCAGTGATTTGTTAAGCCTGAAGAATCCATTTTTGAGTTGTGTGTTAAATGGCAAGCTTGGTATGGTAGATCAGTGTGTGACAAGTTTGAGAATTGAGCCTGTAGCAAAGCAAATAGGTTTCAGGTTAAAAGCCACAAGATAGCTTCAGTGCAATTTGTCAAGTTTTCTTTTTTTAATTATAAGGACCCAACTCTGTGTTTCACTTGAAGTGTGAAATTTGCTCATCAAATGAGAGCCTTAGAGCCAAATGCTGCTGGTTTCTTCCATTGCTGTTAAGTCTGAGTGCCCATGGAACTCAGTGGAGCTGCAGTTCTTGTCAGGTAGCCAGTGTCGAGTGCAGTAAGGAATTCCTCTCTTTATTTCCACAGGACAAGAGAAAATAGCCTCAAGTGGCACCAGGGGAGGTTTAGATTGATTATTAGGAAACAGTTCTTCACTGAAGGGGTTGTCAAGCACTGGAAGAGGCTGCTCAGGACAGTGGTGAAGTCACTGTTCTTGGAAGATTTAAAAGACGTGGATTTGGCATGTAGGGACATGGAGAGTGATGGACTTGGCAGTCTGGGTTTATGATTGATCACAATGATCCTATAGGTCCTTTCCAGCCTAAACAATTCTGTGATTCTGTGATTTCACACATCTTCCCTGGATCCTTCAGAGAGCTGGTGAGGTACTCAGATCATGGGGCTTGCATCCTCTACCTGTCCTTCCCAACTGATTCTAGGTGGGCAGAGGTAGGAGTGCAGTTATTTCTGGCTTCATATGGGAAATTAGGGCTTTGTCTGTGGGTATCAAAATAGTTGCCATTAATCTAAGGTTACTTTTATTACTTTTTAATGTGAAGATTATTGATTTCCACTGTGTATGTTCTTTTGATATTGCATGGCTAAGTAGTACACATGATGAATTGCACTGGTGGAAGGATTGTGCTATTAAAGGGTGGCAGGAGAGCAGTATGGTTTATTTTTGCATGATATTTTATGTCTTCAAACGTGTGGCATATACTGAAATGCATTGACAACTGTGACACTGATTTAATGAATTTGAAAACATGGTAGTTTCATGTTCACTGAACCTTTTTTTCATCTTCCTTTTCTCCAATCCATCAATTTCCAAATACTTAAATGAAGGATCTTTTTACCTAGGTTTAGACAGACTGATGATATATCTTGTTTCTATCGTAAGTGAAGACTGCTTCATTTTCCACTAACTGTAAAACAAATGCAAGCGTTTGGCGCTAATGGGTTGACTAGATCTGTTCTCATCATCTGAGCAGCTTTTGGGGAAAAAGTGAATAAACCTTATTATTTCCTTTAGAAATCATAGAATTACAGAATTCTAGAATGTTTGGGTGGGAAGGGACCTTAAAACTCACGCAGTTCCAACCCCCTGCCACAGGCAGAGACACCTTCCACTAGAGCAGCTTGCTCCAAGTCCAATCCAGCCTGGCCTTAAACACTGCCAGGGATGGGGCAGCTACAGCTTCTCTGGGCAACCTGTGCCAGCGCCTCAGCACCCTCACAGGGAAGAACTTCTGCCTAAGAGCTCATCTCAGTCTCCCCTCTGTCAGGTTAAAGCCATTCCCCCTTGGCCTGTCCCTACAGGTCCTTGTCCAAAGCTCCTCTCCAGGCTTCCTGTAGCCCCTGTAGGCCCCAGAAGCTGCTCTAAAGTCTTCTGGAGTCTTCTCTTCTCCAGGCTGAACAAGCCCAGCTCTCTCAGCCTGTCTCCACAGCAGAGGTGCTCCAGCCCTCGCAGCATTTTCGTGGCCTTCTCTGGGCTCACTCCAACAGCTCCGTGTCCCTCTTGTGTTGTTGCCCCAGAGCTGGATGCAGGACTACAGGCAGGTCTCACCAGGGGGCAAGCAGGTCTTTGCATCTGCCAGAAGTCCTGTGGGCACATTAGCAGGAGCCTGTCAGGAGGCTGCCTTGCTCAGACTTGGTCAGTTATTAGGAAGATAATGGAGCAAAAAAATATTCGTAATAAAACTGCCACTATGCTGGTGTCAGGTAGAAAGATTTCTGACCTTGGAAGATCTCCCTGCCTTGACAGGGGGTTGGAACTAGGTGATCTTTAAGGTCCCTTCTAACCCAAACAATTCTATGATTCTCAAGGTTGTTGAGAATTTTATTTTAAGCATTTTATTTACTACTTAATTATTATTTACTTTACTTTTATTTACTTCTTAATTAGCCCTAAGAGATGTAATGCTGAAGATAAAAATAATCTATTTTAAAAATACTTAGCTTGTGCTGAAGGCAGGCAACCCGGAAGGTCTGTTTTCTAATGTTCCTCTTGGCGCTTTCTCTGCTTATGACCTTGAACGAACTGTTTATTCCCTGTATATCCTCTTGTGTAAATAAAGTAATTTCTGTTATTTTGTAGATTAAAGCTCTTAACAGCCAGATAAAGTGTTTCCCAATCCACGGAGGATACATTTCTAAGTAAGAACAATGTGTTGCTGTGAGTGTTCTGTATGCACACAGCGTCAGCTTCTTCCCAAACTGATAGAAGTCATTGAGAATCTCTGCACTGACTTCAGCTTGTGAATTAAACTCTCAGGAGAAACAAAGGCATTTATATAGTGGTGGAGCTGGGATGGCATTTGTTACAACAGGAGGAGTTGCCACTGAGGACATTTAACCTGGATCTCTTTTATTTGCAGCTTTTTGATTAAAGAACCCTTCTTTCCTCCCTCTGTACACCTCCCATTGGTGTAGCTTTTTGCCTACTACTTCTGTAGAGGAGATCTGATTTGAGTGACAGCTGCGTTATTCAGTACTCTTTGAAAGTTAACTACAAAAAAATAGTTGATTTGTAATGTTTGGAACATTTTCCATCTGCCACATGTTGGTTCTTGGTATGAGGCACTGTCTGGGGGAAGCTGGTAAACTTATTTTCTCTCATTTACTGTGCTTTGATTGCAAAGTTGCCACACATGATTTCTAGTGGAAACTGATAACTTGAAATTGACAGAACTCTATAGAATTGTTTTCTTCAATTTTTAGCTGTCCTGCTTCTAAACAAAACCTAATTTATGAGTTATAAGGAAAAGGGCTTATTGCCAAGTGGGAAGCCAAAATGAAACCTTGCAGCTGTAAGATACAGTTGAATCAATACTGGCCTGCATTTTAGATTGCTTTAACCTTAACCATGGTTGTATGCTATGTGGCTATAACATTTATGGATGTGTTTTATGTAAGAAATGGTTTTGTAGTGACCTTCCAAATAGTATTTAGCCTGAAGACAGCATCAGCTATAAATAGGTAGGTGGCACATTTCTCCTTGCAGTTTGGGGAACAGGTATGTCACTGCATCCATAATTTTGTCAGCTAGTTGGAAGATCTGAATTCTTGTAGTTCAGTTCTAGACTGTTTTGAAGAGCCATTCTAGTTTGGTGGGAAGAAAATCACATTTGAACCATCTTTTGTTTGTCACAGTGTTTGCCAAAATCAGGTTGTTCATTATTCCCAGCCTTCCTTCATGAGACACAAAGTCTAGCCATGTCAAAGTTTTAATTGCATAAGAGCAAAATGTGCTCCCTTAAACAGCAGGACAACGATTTTCCCT